GTGCACCACAATGTCCCCCTAACTGGAATAGGCCCAAAACGGATATTGTGAACTTCCGGATCGTATTTGAAGTGTTAGCGGGATTTTTGACGTAATCATTGCTGATAAAATGTGCGAAGCTCGTCTTCGATGATATGGCCACGTTCTTGTCGAAATGATGACAGTATACGTAAGATCGGCCTCGACATAGACGTGTGCGGAAAGCAGTGTGAAACCATATTTCGCAGTTTGGCTTGCAGTTTGAGTTTAGAACAGATACGTTTCGCTCATGCGATCGCAAAATCCGTGCGATCGCACGATCAATACGTATCTGTTCCACTCTCGAGCTTCAAGCTGAAGTGCCAAATCGATTGGACCCTTAGGGACGCTCAAAGCAGCGCTGGCTCGTTGCAGTGTGGGCTTGAAGTTTGTTGTCATCAACCCCGATCAGGCATTCAAATGGGAAAGTGGCGTCAATTTACCAGAAACCGGTCCTCGTCAGCAAGCGGGATAAATGCCGAAGAAAAAGAATAGGGATCTTCCAGTAGTCTCTTACCCATCCTTTTTCTTCAGGATTCGACGAGTACATGAACGTTGTTTTGGATGAAGCTGAGGAACTCAACATGAAGACCCAAAGTCGCAATAAACTCGGTCGCATATTGCTCAAGGGTGATAACATCACTATGATTCATGCTGTCACTGTCTAGGCATCATTTAATTGCCTCGTTTGTTCATACCTTCGTTGTCTACAAGTAATTTTGTGTTATCGGATCTCGTTTCCGTATTACATTTGGGTTCTTTTTTAGTTATTGTTAAGGTTGAAAAGCTGGAATGAAATGTTTAGAAGATGTTTTGTGTATATGACTAATCGGTGAATACCAAGTCTAGTGCTGTGCATTGAGAAACTACGCTTTTGTTTAAATTTATTCTAGAATCGAGTAGGGATGCTTTTCATCGCGACGCTTTGGCTTCTGTCCCACAGTGTATTCGGTATCCTGAATACTGGGGTCCAACTACGGATAGAGGAATTCTTCGACACTCCCGGGCACACTAACAACTGGGCTGTAAGTACCCCCTCTGTGGTGCTGTAGCAGTTGAAAATACTTTGAATGTTAAGGTTCTTGTATGTACTTCTCGCTTCTGGTTCAACTACCGCCACGTTTCCAATGTTTTGGCTCTTTATCACACCGTGAAACGACTAGGTATTCCTGAAAGGTAAAGCAGTTTACTGGTTACACTTTCTGCGTAGATAGCAGTTGTGTAGTGTAGGTGATGGTCATAGCTATGCAAATTTTATCGTCTGAAGTAGATCCGTGTCTCGGATTCAGACGACTCATAGGGCGAACCATGAGCATGCGATAATGAAGTTACAAAGGCGCAGTCGCATGGTATAACCGCTGTTTAAGCACGAGAGTTGCTATTAGTCAGTTTGGTTTTGCAAAACCTATTTTCAGTAACATTATTCTCATTTGCTGGGCCGGGAAACGTGCTTGCAATCAAGAAATTCCTCGACCAGGCTTGTGAGTGTTCATGGATAGTTGCACCTCTTATTTATTCATTTCGGCTTTTGTAACATTTTCTCGCGCAGTTATTCTGAAACGATGCTACAATCTCTGTGCCAACACAACTTCCTCGATTTCCATAATGTAGTTTGGATTTTGATAACGCCTTTCCTGTTCGCCGAGATTGCGTACAGATAGCGAGGACCCTCGATTATGCGCGAGAGGGGTTCTGGCTCAGTGCAGGCAAGAAGCTTCGTGGCAAAATCGGGGCTCAAATCTATCCGCGCGAGAAACCAGTGGATGAAACGAAACCAAGGTTCAGTTTCGACCGATCCTCCTAAAAAGAGGCACGGGCCATCTTCTTACGCCGTATGCTCGGCAAGTTGGTCCAACATGAACCACGATCACACCACTGTGCAGTAAATATGGCGCGTAGAGCGCGGCGTGACCCTCTTACTTGCAAAACTTTGTCTGTTTATCGAGGCAAAGTCAAAACGGGGTGGTATTTCAAGTGAACAAAATACTTGCAGAACTTCTATTGCAACGCTCTTGCTGTGGCTGTGCACATAAATCCCACCTGGGGCGATATTCAATCCTTCCCAAAGGGGGATGCGTTCTTCCCTAATTCAGTCTTCCGTCCAAAGCTGGGGGAGGATTGATCAGATGAGGTGGACGCATCCCCCTTGGGGAAGGATTGAATACCGCCCCTGGTCCATTGATTTTTGTTTGGGATTGTGTAAAGCTTACGCCCCAGTTGAGCCGATCTTAGTTAATCGGGTGAGGCGCAACCGTAAGTGGCTTTTGCATCACCTTCAAATAAACCAAGGATTTTGCTAGTGGTGGTGTTTGCCGCTTTTGAAAATCTCGAGAACAGCTTTAAACGATTTATTGTGAATGGAACACCAAGACTCGATAGATTTTGAACATGGTGAAATATGAATGCTTGATTGTTAACCGCTCATCAGCTTTGCTGACGTTATCCGTCGATTTGATGACGTCGATTCTCTATGTGGATTGTGTTTTTCCATCTTTGAATCAACTGATGATCATGGTATCTGTGTCGCTCAGTACGCGATTGCTCTCCACCAGTCGACTGAGTTTTGTGGTCTACTTGTTCCGTTGTGTACATGTCAACTTCTGCGACATTGCATTCTGAATAATACTGCGATTTACTATTACTGCTTTATACTGTAGCCTTCATGGCTTAAATACCCAATGTAAGATTTGCTAGGATTATATCGGGTGGCAACACCATGCACACTCTGTTTATTGGGACCCGAAGAGAAACTTTTGCCAAGTTAGGCAAAGCTCAAAGCAACAGCCCCAGAAGGGTCCATATTGCTACTCATCTAGTGAAAAGGTCATGGGCCCTAGTCCAGAAGATACGAAGTGTTGCTGGGGCAAAAAATGTTTTCGAAAAAGCGGATAAGGCGGTGTATAGGCGCCAACTTTGGTCCATCTGCCTTTTGGTCGACACGCCCCATCGCTAGCCATGAAGATTGCACGCAACGTGGATATGAAGTAGCGGAGAAGATCGCCAATAGATTCAGTAGATATTATACGCATCACATTGACGCGGCTGTTAGTTTAAACTCGTCTGGACACGTCCCTTCCCCATCTCAAGATGGACGGGAGTAGTCTACAGTGGGTCTTCCTTACTTTTTATGTCCAGTCAACTCGGTATTCACACTTTCATGATAGATCGCTGTTACCCTACCAGTTTCATTTGGGGTTGTTGCTTTGAAATAGGTTGCAAAAAGCAACAGTATTATTATAATCATAGAAGCCGCTCCTTGCGATAAGCCGATACCGCTGAAATGAAATTCAAGGTGGCAAATGGTGCGTATGTGGAAGAAAAAACACAATTGGTCAAAAGCTCGAGAAACGGGACTTTTCGCTCATTGATTTCGGTTGTGGGCGGGTGTACCATTAACGTGGAGGTAGTAGGGTGAAGCTAAACATCGCCATCATGCTGTGCAGCAGTGCTCTTGCGAAAGAAAAGCGAACGATGGTGGGGAAGGTTTCATCTCAATTATGTATAGTGTCGTCATCATTCCAGCAACTGTGGAGGTGGGGACTGTACGAGAGAAGGGATAGTTTTTGTTGTCATTTTGCGCCTATTTTGGCCGATGATGCCTGCGACTTCGCGTGAAACCCCGCCATCGTTTATACTTGCGATTATTCCTCCATCTTTCCAGGGAGCCTGCTCTTAGTTGGGGGGAGGCACGCGGCGGCGCGGCAGTCTGCTCGCCTGGCATGTTCGGAAATCCATGGGCCAGGGGAGTGTAGGCAGTCCTAGGGGGGGGGGGGGGGCGCAGGGCAGTTCACCTGATGCGTGAAAAGCTGGAATTTCGAGTTTACCTGCCGGTGCTCGAGGAGAGCCGGGTGAGCAGACTTTGCCGCCGCCGCGCGTGCCCCACCATAAGGTGAGCACATCTTTCCAATTTTATGAGCATCGGATTTTTTCTTTAATGAACTTCGATGAGGAATAATGTGTTCATTCTACAAATCTACTGTTATAAGTTCTCTTGTTTTTCATTGGATCATAGCGAGAATCATCGCTGAATAGATCCTTTGTAAGTCTTGATTCCTCCATGAATGTTTTTGAAACGGAAATGGTGTGGTGTAGTGAAAAGTGAGTGCCTTCTCTACGCTTCTTTTTTTCGTTATTATGCGAGGGAAACGAAACTCACGAGCTGGCATTCTTTCATATAATGGATTCTGTTCGAGTCGTACACGTTTCACCATTTGTGGGTCGCTCTTTTCCACAGTTGTCAATATTATTTGGTTGGGTTTCGCAGCCGTCCAATACTCCACTTTCTGCAAATGGGAGTGCTGTTGATCAGAGCTCTATACAAAAACAGTTGACCGAGAGAATGTTCACCTCTTCAGCTACTTTCTTGAACAGCACCTTTGAATCCTTTTCTACTACGCGCTGTTTTTGACATTTAATAAGTTGAACCTTAATAATATTTTATATAAATCAGTAAAGGGATTTAGTAAGAGCATCGAAGCACAGTTCTAAGGCTTCTCCATGGGTTAATCTATTCACAATGCCGCTTTTATGAAACGAAATTTCTCTATCAGCGTCATCCTTTCCTAATGTCAATGTTGGATTTTTCTATTTCAAGCGGGAGTTTTATAACAAAAGGTGGGTATTTATTTTGCAAAATGTGGCCGAATGCTAGAAGCATTTTTTGCAAACACAGATAGTTTTAGTTTATTACGCACCTTGAGTGTTGCAAGTTTTGGTATACGATATTCGATGGCCACATGTTTTCCGAACGCTATTGTGAATGTGACTGTTTCCCAGAGTGGTCGCAGTTTTTCCGCTTGTAGTGGTCCTTGGGGAGCAAGCATCAAATGGGCGCATGCGAGTCTTCGCGAGATACGCTCTTTCTGAAATCATCGCTTCATATTTTGTAATTGTTCTTCACTTTACCTCTGCTTAGGTGATTAATTATTGCAAACGCTGCTGAAGGAAGGTGTTTCCTCTCCTCGTGAATCGCGAGCTTTTCTGGCAACGGCCACAAGTTCTCCAGTCATCCCGTTACGCACAACTTGTATACGGCGTGGGTGTGGCTCACTAGGACAGAAAACGAATTTTTCGCTTTTCGCCCGCAAAGGTTTTTTCGCTGCGGGAACCTCAACATCCAACCGCTATCAGGGCTGGCAGCTAGGGATTTTTTACCCGTAAAACTTCGCGTAGCGGAAAGCCGGGAAAATCGTTTCCTTATCCTAGCGAACACACCCATAAGGTACGTGATGATGTGCGGTTAGCGGGCTGTTCATGTGCCGTACAAGTGTCGTGTGTTGTGACAGCGACGACTGCAGCACGGGTAGCACGCCACTAGGATGCATGCTTCGACCGCCGTCACAGTCAGCGATGTACGAGCGATGGAGCGGTCGCGATCGCTCCATCTC